CGGCTCCGGCGCCTTCGCCGCCTCGCCTCGCTCTGATTTGTGACGGTCCATAGCTCGGCTACGCCTCGCACTGTTCACTGTTCTACAAAGACAGTTACTCAGTTTCAGTGTTGGTGTGGTAAGAAAATGATATTGATCAGACTGATTGGACATTTTTTTTTGAATTTATGAGGAATATTTTTGTTTTTTAGAAACATCACTATGCAAAGTTTTTTGAAAATTTCGATTCAACTTGTTGACTCCAGTTCCTAACATAAATGCATATAAAACACAAATGGTAATACTTATTGGTTTTGAGGAGATATCCGTTCGGCTCCGGAATTGGTGTGAAAAAAAGTGTAATGTGTTATTGGGCGTTGGTAAATGTCGTTTGCCACTGTGGACGTAGAGAGACGAGTCTAAGGGAGGGCCAGAGTTATGCCGAACTCGCCTTCGGCTCGCTCGGCATTGGTATACAAGACGCGTGTGTTAAGAATCGAAAGTCTTTGGTTATTTTACTTGGTTGGGGAAACGGTTAAAAAGAATTTTTGTTTGAATTTGTATTTCGAAGAAAGTTAAAAAAATAGCTTAAATCTACAAATAACCTAATGTCCACCGCTGCTTCGTCACATTCGATTTAGCTTCATTTATAATTTTTGTTTGAATTTGTCTTTCAAAAAATCTACAAATAACCTAACGTCCCAAGCTATTTGGTGCCACACTCTTCATATTCAGTTTTTTTTAAATTTGTATTTTAAAGAAGTATATATAAAATATGTAGGTATAGGTTCAATGTTCAACAACGACAATTTCTCAGTTTCAGTTATGGCGTGGTAAGAACATGATACTAATCAGACTGATTTGATAATTTTTTTGAATTTATGAGTAATATTTTTGTTTTTTTTTTGGAAACAACACCTATACAAAGTGATTTTTCTAATCAACCTGTTGAATACAAATCTGCACATAATTGTACATAAGATTTTTAGTTTCGATAACACTTTTTGGTTTTGAGGATTCATCCGCTCGGCTCCGGCGGCTGCGCCGCCTCGCCTCACTCTGATTCGTAACGGTCCGTAGCTCGGCTTCGCCTCGCACTGTTTTCTGTTCAACAACGATAATTTCTCAGTTTCAGTTTTGGTGTGGTAAGAAAATGCTATTAAGCAGACTGAATTGATATTTTTTTGAATTTGTGTGGAATATTGTTTATGAAAACATCACCTATACAAAGTGATTTTTTTGAAAATGTTTATTCAACTTGTTGAATCCAGATCTGCACAGATTTTAAATATTGTCAATTTTTGGTTTTGATGAGACATACGCCCGGCTCCGGC